TCTCGCTTAGCGAGTCTTGGCGCGCTCCGCAGCCATTATCTCTCTACTCGGAGCCCCCTCCACCTTAGATTCCTTACGTATTATCCTGTCAATTACAGCGACCGTTCACTCCGTGTCACTATAATACGTTAACCTCTTCACGACACAGCGCGTAGCTACTTGTCGTCGACCGCCAATTTGCGTAGAATCGGCGCGCTAGAAGAAGGCCAACGAGCGGCCTCATCTTGACCTCTCAGCGCGTAGCTCAAGTCAACCGGATCGCGTAGATCACTTCTCGTGTAGAGAACAAGGCCGCGCAGACAGCGTAAGTCCTCCGTCACCTAACCTTGAGCAGGAATCGTCGATATCGAGCAGCGCGCGCAGTTAGATCCGTCTCTCAACAAGGCGCATCACTCGCACGCACGCCGCAACCATGTCATCTCCTCACCTCAACGACCTTCTAAGCGGCCTCTATCTCAGCGACGACGATGTGCCGGCTCCTCGTAACACTAGTCTCATCGATGAGAACATCCACCTCAAGAACTAGCTCCTTTAGCGCGACCGCCAGATCGACTAGCTCGCCGCTCGCCTCGAGGCTCTTAAGCGCCGTAGCTCCTTACCTCGCGCGCGCGCACTTCCTCAGCCACCTCGTCAGATCAAGACCTCGCCGGTCTCACCTCGCGCACGCGCACTCGCACTTCCTCAGCCTCCTCGCCAGGAGCGCTCACCTCGTCCTCTCACGACCATGAACAACGATTGTTCTGTCGCTCGCCGCAGAGCTCTCAGCTCCTCGCCAGTCCGCATGACTAATCCTCCTGAGTTCGACAACGACAAGGTCGACTTCAGTCGCTAGCTCGTCAAGATGCGCCTCAAGCTTGATGAGTTTGATGGCCAGTCAGAAAAATTCAAGATCCAATACATCACTTCCCGTACAATTGACGGACCCTTCGAGCGCCTCCACCCTCGTCGCTTCGCCTCCGCGGATGACTACCTCAACCAACTCAACGATTAGTACGGCGAGCGTCACCGCGAGAGCCGCGCATGGTCAGAACTCTCACGCCTCCACCAAGGAGAAGACACCTTCGCCGACTTCTTCGCTCACTTCGAAGAGCTCCTGGCATACGTTACCTTGCTAGAGAGTGTACAGATCAACTTCGTGCTCGACAAGCTCTCCTTCCGCTACGCCGACAAGGTCGAAGACGGCACCTCGTACGACTCGCTCCGCTAGCTTATCCATCGCTGCTACGCCCTCGACGCTGGTTTCGCTCGCGAAGACGCACGTAATAACACCTTCCACGACGACTACGATACCGATGAATTTGACGATGAAATTCAAGAGATGGAATAAATGAGATAAACACAGCTGCTGCTGCTGCTGCTGTTGCTGCGCGCGCGAAGCGAGCAAACAGAGCAAACACGCAACTATCTGCTAATTTGGTTTTTATTGCTGTTTTGGAAGAATTAGAGCTCGCAGGAGCTTCGCTTGCAAAAGGGGGGGTAATGACACGGTTCCGGTCCGATTCGAACCGTGGTCCTCTCGCTTAGCGAGTCTTGGCGCGCTCCGCAGCCATTATCTCTCTACTCGGAGCCCCCTCC